GGGGGAGTCGAGATAGGAGATGACGCAACCCAAAAAAAAGAAGTTCAGCGTTGTCAAAGAGAAAGATCCGCAACAACAAAGGCGCATTCGCCGTTAATTCCAATATGGCCCCGGGTCAATAACTCACTCAACTTCAATCATCGATCCTCATACCCGCACCGACGATCCCGGCCGCCACGTGCTAACTCCCACCACTGCGATCGTCACCCCGTTGTCGTAGACTCGACACGGTTCGGCCAGATCCCACAGTCCGTCGTGGCGATCCAACGCACAACCGGTCGGCCTATCGTCAGCCCGACAGGACTTTCCGACTCGCACCAAACACTCTGCCTAGCCACTACTTCCCGGAAGCTGGCTTGAGAGTCGAGAACGTAAGAGAGATTTGCGGACGCGCTTGCGGGTTTTATAGTTGCGACAGGGGAGATAGAAGGGGGATAAAGCGACGGGAAAGTTGAGGTGTAAGAGAAGAAGCAGCAGGAGAAGACTTTGAGAAAAATGCTCTACGAACGCCATGTTGATCCCTCGAAACTCAAGGTTCAACCAATCAGATTCGTTGCGCAATAGGGAGGTCCTATTGATCCACGCACCTGATTGGCGAGCGGGAGTTATCGATGGATCGACCGGGCGTCGTGCGCCAGACTCAGAGGGTGGGGGAGGGGAGAAAAAGGCGCGAGAAGTGGCGCAAGACGGGTCCAAGATTCAGATGATCAAGAAAGGAAAATGGGCGCGCAGAGAGCAAGGCGGGAGAGGGAGAGAGAGAAAGAAAACAGTTATGGGGCGAGAGAAAGAGGAAGGAAAATGGGAAAGGAGCGCGGGAGGGAGCGATGCGGGGGACAGAGAGGAGAAAGCCTTGCACGCGCGGCGCCGTCAACAAAAAGAGAGAAAAAGGCACCGAAACAGTTACAGCCTAATTCAAAATTGAAATCACTATATCCGTGCGCGAAAGAGGGACGCGGGAAAAGAAAATCCTATGCCTATTCGTATTCGCACAAAATTTCGAGAGTTTTCTCCGATGCGACCAAGAACATTCACACACACGAAAAGGACACTTCGATGTTCCGCTTATTCCGGAATTCCCAACTGCCGAGCCCAATTCCCAGTGCGCTCGCTAAGGCGCACGTAATTTCCTATGTATTTCCCGAATTGCAGAAAGGAAATGCAGAACCCGGGAGTCGAAAAAGCTTTCCGAAAGATGGGAGCCAAGAATGCGGTACCCAAAATCAAGAAAAGGAAACGGGGTTTTATGGGGTTGGTATGATACAAGCAAAAAAAAGAAGAGAGTCGAGGGAGAGAAGGGCGGGGGGGGG